TGGCGCTTGGGAGTGCGGCGGTGCTCCCGCTGAGGGTTTGGATCCCATATAAAGACCAGTCTGCTCACTGGTTGAGCGCGGTGCGGGTGCGACACCGAGGGTTGCGATCCCGTNATAAAGACCAGTCCGCTCACTGGTTGAGCGCGGTGCGGGTGCGACACCGAGGGTTGCGATCCCGTTACCGGTCACGAAAAAAGACAAAAAGGAAAAAAAAAAAAAGTAGTGATTTCACTAGATCAGATGATAGTGATGGCTGCACAGCTGAATAAATTTACTAAAACATATCCAACTGTACAATTAAAATGGGTGAGTGTTAGGGTGTATAAGTTACACCCTCAATACAAGCAGTAGATGAGAAAGCCTTCCTTTTCTCCTCATTGCTTAACTGCTTCTCAAGTCTAATCAGGAACAGAGTAACAATTTTGTCAAGTTGTTTGCACTGGTGTATTTCTCTCCCAACTCTGCCTTCAGATAGCACAGATGATGTGGGAACACGTTTGGAGGTTGAACAGCTCTCAGGTTTCCCTTTTAGTAAGCTCCAGCTTCTCAACAGACTTGGGCTGTGTGGGTCGATCAGCCCAGACTTCCAAGGTGACCACAAGTGAGCCTTCCATTGCAGAGAGCTAATAGCAGAAACACAAGCCTGCCAGGTCCGCTGCAGCTGGTTCTGCCACTGGACAGTGGCCTTTCTGACTCAGCTGTAGCGGAATGAGAAACAGCCATCTAGAAACCTGGCAGGCTGACTTGCTGCAGCCAGCGCTCACCCATCCAGTCCTGCAATTCTTCAAACCCTTGCCAAGTTGGGACCTCAATCTCCTGCCTTTTTCTGCAGTAAGAAAAAATAGCTCAGGGGTTCAGAGCCGAGACAGATAGAAACAACATTCTCTTTCCCTCCTCTGCTCCCCAAAGCACCCAGACCATTTCAGGGATAGCAATCCATTTTTAAATTTTCTTCTTCTCACTTATCTGAACTTTCCCATATCTGTAAAGACTAAGTGATTTTAAATTAATTTTTATATTTAAATATAAGGCCATTTTTAGAAAATACAATCTGCCACACTCTAGAAGCATTTAATTTTTCCAACAACCCTAGGAGCTTATATGAGATTATTATCCCCATTTTACAGATAAGAAAATCGAGGATTTCAGTGGTTATGTCATTGTGCTAATTAGTAGCAGCTGGTTTCAACACCAGTTCTTTCTGCATATAGAGCATTTAACCCAGTCTGGGGCACATGGTAAGCAATCCAGTGTATGTTAGCTAGCTACTACTATTTCTGCAAACAAAGACTGCAGAGAGTTTAGTTAATTCTGCCAATGTCATCAGAATAGACATTCCCAAATTAGCAGTCAGCATCTTCAGGCCTTGTCCCACCTCTCGCAGTCTGCCAATGTTACAAATCTGGGCCTTGAAGTCATCCTGAAACTGGTAATATTTTACATGTGGTGGTAGCTCATAACTGTTAATTAAGAAGCAGTAAAATATAATAAGAGGTGATATAGATTTCTCAGGATTCAAAGGCCACATACCTCTCTTTCTGGGTCTTCCCTAACATCTTTAATATTTAACCTTAGGTATCCTATAATTTCCCTCAATTAACTTCAAACTTAAAAGATAGGTGAAAATCCAGTAAAGGGAGTTCTTTTGGCTTCTGGGTGAGTTAAATCAAGTCCATCTTCTATTCCATGATGTAGCTGTGGTCTTAGGTTTAATTTTGCCCAGGCCAGGTAGCTGTCCCCTGACCCAGGGCCACATGCCACCCTCTTCATCTTTGACTTCCATCCTGAAAATGTGTTCAGTATTATTAGGGAGAATTTGGTAACAATGTCTGGGTATCTCCATAACTTAACCCAAATCTAGCACCACTATTAGGAAAATAGTTTAAACCACTTTGATCACCAGAATCTTATTCATCTGAAGGATAATAGAATTATTACTAATTATTGCATGTCAGTTAAATTACAACCATTTATTCCATCCTTTTAAGGTTTGTTGATTCGTAAGGTCCTTGGGGTAGTACAGTATGAAACAAAAGATAGGACTTTATCATGTTTAAATAACATGATTTTCTTCCATGGGAGGGTGTGAAAACATTAGGACACAAATCAGATAACCACAATGAATTTTAAAGACTTTGTCTTTAATGCTTTGCAGTTTTGCTGTAATGGAGCTAGGTAGATATCTGGTTTTGTTCATTAAAAGATCTGTGTCTGTTTTCAACTCTAGAAAATTATGAGCACTTATCCCTTTGAATAGTGCTCTCCCTCATTTTCCATTCCCTTGGAGTTTCTATTAGATGTGGACTGGGCATCTCCATTATATCTCCATGTTTCTTACCCATTTAAAAAATATTTTTAATTTATTTTTTACCTCTGATGATTTCCTTAGATCTGCCATATATTTCATTAGTTTTCCAGTTGTGTCTAGTCTATTATTTAATCTGTCTGTTGGGGATTTTGTCTGTATTTTAGTGACTGCATTTTTATTTCTACAAGTTTTATTTGGTTCTTTTCTGAAATTTTTCTGGTCTTTTTTTTCATACTTCATGGATTTTATACCTTTTATTAGCTCTCTATATTAACTTTGGTTTTGTACATTGCTCTGTATCTCTAATTCTTACTGAGCTAATTTTTCTGCTTGTGGCATCTGTTGGTTCTCCCTCATGGTGGCTGGTTTCCTCATGTGGTTTATAATTTTTATTGCGAGCTCATCTTTGGCAGGAGTTGCTCTTTCTATGGGTGGCCTATGTGTCCTGTTTGAGAAGGTGCTCCTCTGAGAAACTTTACATTGGTTTCTGTTTAACCCCAGGGATTTCAATAATCTTGGACTGGTTCTTAAGTTAATTCCTCATCTTGGAGCACACACAACAAAGAATGTAAACACGTAACTCATAACCGTGTGTGGTGCAAGCCTAGAATTTCAGTTTCTCAAGGTGACTTTCTTTCCCATTAATGGCCCTAAGCTGATAGCAAGTTTCCATTCCACCTGCAGGGACAAAATAGAAATAAAAACTGACTTTCCGGGGTTGTTGGAAAAATTAAGTAGATAATGCATACAAACTCCTTGCAAGGTACCCATAGCAAGAGGTTCTCAATTATGGCTAAGTAGGCATCAATACCCCCTGGGCAACTTTTCAAAAATAGATATTTCTGGGTGATACCCTTCAATAAGTCTGATTCATGAAGTCTGAAGTTGGGCCCAGAAATCTGCATTTTGAAAAGCCCCGCAGGTGATCTTGATGTGCCACCAAGTTTGAAAACATTCTTAAAGGTACTCAAGAAATGTTAAACAGTATCATTGTTCCCCAAATTCTTTCATCTCAGATGTGGTGAGGCTGTAGAAAAAAATAAGCGTCTCATCACCGCAGACCAGAGGGAGTATCAGCAGGAACTCAAAAAGAACTATAACAAGTTGAAGGAGAACCTCAGGCCAATGATTGAACGGAAAATTCCAGAACTCTACAAGCCGATATTCAGAGTCGAGAGTCAAAAGAGGTAAGAATAGGGCAGAGGAGGCCTCTTCCTGGGACATTGCTCTTTGGGCCCAGCAAATTGGGGCAGGCCGAGCTGCACTGGGTGAGCTGCAGAACCTCTGAGGGGGTGGCAGTGGGGCTGCAGTCGGGTGGCTTCCATTCTCCCAGTACCTCCTCCTTTACCTGCCTGGACCCCTTCCTCTTGGCCTTGTGCCAGCAGTCTTCCCAGGGCCCATATATGGCCTGTGTGGTTTTGTTTGTTTGGGGCACAGTGTGAAGGGGTCTAAGCCCCTTCACTTATTATTTAGTGAGTTCTCTATGACTGATGTCCTTCTCTGCTGAATGATTCCCCCTTCCATTTCTTTAAAAGTCTGATTGATCTTTCTTACCTATGTGTTCTCTCTCTCTCTCTCTTCTTAATTTCAGGGACTCCTTCCACAGATCTAGTTTCAGGAAATGTGAAACCCAGTTGTCACAGGGCAGCTAAGAAAAACTGTCTTCACTCATAGAGACAGAGGCCCTGCGACCCTGGAGAAGGACTCTATGGTACTTGAAACAGGGCATTTGCCATGCAGGACCCACAGCAGTCTCCCCTGACCAGCCAGCACTCTGGAAGCTTTGGGATTAAGGGACCATGTAAATACACCCAAATGGGCTGTCTTCACTCATAGAGACGGAGGCCCTGCGACCCTGGAGAAGGACTCGATGGTACTTGAAAAAGGGCATTTGCCATGCAGGACCCACAGCAGTCTCGCCTGACCAGCCAGCACTCTGGAAGCTTTGGGATTAAGGGACCATGTAAATACACCCAAATGGACTCTGACCAGATTTTGGCCATACTGAGGGGTTGGGGGATTAGGGGGGGTCCCAATTTCAGATAGTTAAGTGGGGGCATGGCTGCACTTTTTTTTTTTTTTTTTCCTTTTTGTCTTTTTTCGTGTCCGGCAACGGATCGCAACCTTAGGTGTCGCGCCCGCACCGGACTGGGACCGGCAACGGGATCGCAACCCTCGGCGCTGCGCCCGCACCTCGCTCAGCCAGTGAGCGGGAACCGGTCTGTATGTGGGATCCGAACCCTCGGCGGGAGCGCCACCGCCGCTCCTAAGCGGCGCACTGTAGCAATGCGCCACCGGGCCGGCCCATGGCTGCACTTTTAAAATAATGGCATAAACAAACAGTTGGATACCGGTCCTCTGATTATGTGTTCTAAATATGGAGTTAGGAATGAAGCACTTTAAGAATTCCTAAGAGTAAAGCAAATTGGGCTTTTTGATTCTTGAAAATTAGAGAAACCTGATATGCCACAATAGCCCACCTGATTTTGCTTTGGAAAATGCTTCTATGAAAGCCTGTTAGAGAATCTTCTGATGAGCTTCATGCCTCCCCTCCCTCAGCAAGTTCAAGAGTGAAACTGTGAATATCACCTAAGAATCTCAGGAAAATGAAACATGAACATACTGCATATACCTGACTGGGCTTGTCATGCCACACATTGTCTTCTGTAAGGAGAGCTTCCCATGACAACAGATTTAAAAAGAAAATAAATTTTTAGAGCTGTCATTGGTAATTGTGTTTGCAAATATGCTTTCAAAGACAGGAAATCCAAAGTCTCTGTTTAGTGAGAAAGATCATATAAGTGTGTATGTAGCCACAGAACAAAACAAACCAGAGTCTATATAGCATGTAACTTTCTAATTGACGCGAGGACGGCCTTCATTAACAACACCTATTATATTCTGCCCTAAAACAGTAAGGGTTAGGTGCTAAGCTATGTAGGGCTGACTTTGAACTCTAATAGCCCTAATAACCCTAATAACTTAGGATCTTCCTGATTAAATGCCCCCTGCTTTTAGATACCCAGTGTCGGTTTGGGTGTTTTTAGTCTCTCGTATGCCACCATGGGTGCACTTGCTTCATGAGTGTAGGAACTGTGTTCATTGCTGCATTCTTATCCCTCAGCCCTTTACTCACCACACCGAAGACATTCTAAGTATTTGTTGATTGACTGACAATGAATTAAGTGTGAGTAGGCCTGCTTCTAGAAGAGCACTGCCCAATAGAAACACAATGCAAGCCACATGTATAACTAAATTTTCTAGTGGTCACATTCAAAAATAATCATAAAAAGAAATGAATAAAGTTAACTTTACTAATATGTTTTATTTAATCCATATATGTACATATATAAAATATTATTTCAAAATGTCATCAATATAAAAATTAATGAGGTATTTCTCATTCTTTTTATCACACTAAGTCTTCCAAATCTGCTGTATATTTTATAGTTACAGCACATCTCAGTCACAACTGGCCATATTTCAAGTGCTCGATAGTCACATGTGGCTACTGGCTACCATATTGGACAGTGCCATTCTAGAAGCCTTCAAATTTTCTAATGTGATGCCTCTGATCTGTGGGCTCAGAATACAGATAACCAAAGTAATGAGAATAGTGTCTAAGGTAAGAATGACAGAATTCTGATTGAGAATCCTGTGTGGCTCTCTTAAGAGAGAAACTTGGGGAGTTTGGACTCACCAATATTGGCTTTGGCTGCTCAGACTCTTTCTGGGCTAACTCTCAGCTGTTTTCCCAATTTCAGATAGTTAAGTGGGGGCATGGCTGCACTTTTTTTTTTTTTTTTTCCTTTTTGTCTTTTTTCGTGTCCGGCAACGGATCGCAACCTTAGGTGTCGCGCCCGCACCGGACTGGGACCGGCAACGGGATCGCAACCCTCGGCGCTGCGCCCGCACCTCGCTCAGCCAGTGAGCGGGAACCGGTCTGTATGTGGGATCCGAACCCTCGGCGGGAGCGCCACCGCCGCTCCTAAGCGGCGCACTGTAGCAATGCGCCACCGGGCCGGCCCATGGCTGCACTTTTAAAATAATGGCATAAACAAACAGTTGGATACCGGTCCTCTGATTATGTGTTCTAAATATGGAGTTAGGAATGAAGCACTTTAAGAATTCCTAAGAGTAAAGCAAATTGGGCTTTTTGATTCTTGAAAATTAGAGAAACCTGATATGCCACAATAGCCCACCTGATTTTGCTTTGGAAAATGCTTCTATGAAAGCCTGTTAGAGAATCTTCTGATGAGCTTCATGCCTCCCCTCCCTCAGCAAGTTCAAGAGTGAAACTGTGAATATCACCTAAGAATCTCAGGAAAATGAAACATGAACATACTGCATATACCTGACTGGGCTTGTCATGCCACACATTGTCTTCTGTAAGGAGAGCTTCCCATGACAACAGATTTAAAAAGAAAATAAATTTTTAGAGCTGTCATTGGTAATTGTGTTTGCAAATATGCTTTCAAAGACAGGAAACCTTTGTTTTGCTTTGAATGTATTTTTAAATGCTTGCTATTTCAAATGTTGTAAAGCTACTATTGATTATGTATCATTTTTTTTGGGGGGGGAAACTAAAGGTTTTTAAATACACTTGCAGAATGCTGGGTATGTCCGTGGTATGAATATCCTGTGCATTCTTTTTCAGGCTTAAGGCAATGCTTCCCAGTGTTTTTCACATCATGGATATAAATGTTATTTACTGAGGCATAATAAATAGCCCCAAACTCATCAGCTTAAAACAACAATAAACAATAAATATCTTGCCCAGTTCCTGTGGGTTAGGAATTCAGGAGCAGCTTGGCTGGGCAGTCTGACTTGAGGTCTTGTGTGAAATGTGGTCAGTATTGCTGGCCAGAGCTGCCATCATCTGAAGGTTTGACTGAGGCTGAAGGATTCTATCCCAAGGTGGTTCACTTATGTCATGAGTAAGTTGGTGCTGGTCATGGATGGGAGGCCTCAGTTCTTCTCCATGTGGACCTCTCCGCAGACTGCTTGTGTATCTTCATGACATGGCAGCTGATTTCCCCTGGGGTGAGTGATTCAAGAGAAGCAAAGCACACTTATGTCATGAGTAAGTTGGTGCTGGTCATGGATGGGAGGCCTCAGTTCTTCTCCATGTGGACCTCTCCGCAGACTGCTTATGTATCTTCATGACATGGCAGCTGATTTCCCCTGGGGTGAGTGATTCAAGAGAAGCAAAGCAAAAGTGGCAATGTCTTTTATGACGTAGCTTCAGAAGTCATACACCCTCGTATCTGCCATATTCTATTTTTTAGATCAAGTCACCAAGTTCAGCCCACATTCAAGGGGAAGGGAATTAGGCTCTACGTTTTGAATGAGGAGTATTAAAGAATCTTGAACATATTTTTTAATCACCATTATGAGGCATATTAAAAATTTGTATTTGTTGTCTTGCTGGGGTAAATAAATAAGGCCACCTGCTGCTGGAGATGACCAGTCCTAGAGTTCTGGGTGCCCTGGGTCCCTCCCAGAGGGCTGAGATGATCAATGTCAAGGAATATCTATAAATTAGCACATGGGAATCTCTAGCCTAAAGGTAGGTCTCAATTGGCAATCTTTTGTAAGGGACAGAAAACCAAACTCAAATTGGCATTTTTTAACGGGGTGGTAGAGTTTATTAGCTTGCTTAACAAAATAATTCAGACCCAGCTTGATCTCAGACCCACACAACAGGTCCTGGGCCCATTTTCCATCTCTGCTTCCTCCTGGTTGGCACTACTCTCGGGATTTCAGTGGTCCCTGGAAATTCTAGGCTCATCTACCACGGCAAATGCTGTCCTGAACCTCACAACCTTATACTATAAAGTCCCGCAAAGAAGAGAGCTCTGGGAATTCCTCGGGGTCACTCTGATTGAAACAGCTTATGCTAACCAAGTTTCTTCCCTCGAGCTAGAAGTAGATTCCCTTCTGGCCATCTTTCCCTTGAGCTACCAAGGCAAACCACAGGACTCACAACAGGTGACTGGGAGTTCCTCAGGGAACCAGGAAGAAAGGGGAAAGGCAGTTAAGCCACAGGGCTCACTACAGGACATTTCGCTTTAAAGCAAAAGCATTCAGAATACAGAACTTGTGTGGAGACCAGGATTACAGTCTAATTCAGGTAATGTCCACAACCACTGGCCTGGCAGGACCGTATCCAGGAGGGAATATGGGGAAGTGCAGTACACGAAGAAGAAACACTTAGGGCTTATCACATCCTGAAGAAGAGCGGAGGCTGAAATAGGTGGGAGTGGAGTGTTTTGCTTTACCAGTAATTCATTTTCCAGAGTGTGTTGCCAAAACTGGTATGAATGATGAGGAATCAGAACTATACAGCTGGAGGTGGCAGGAGTGGGAGAAGAGTGACGGCAAACAGGGAAATGAATAAAATTAGGTTTGAGTAGACAAAGTAAAGCATCAGAATCGTGTCTCTGCTCCTCGCTGTACCCCCAGCGCCTGGCCCAGAGTGGGTGCTCAATGAATGTTTGTAAGTGACCGAAGCAATGAATGAAGGTGGCTATCGGGGATGATTTCTGCCAACTATTCCTTTCCTGTAGCTCTGGGCTAAAAGCAGCACCTAAAGGAGGACAGATAACTATCAGCTGGTCCCAGAGGAATGGCTTTCCATTCACTCCTGTCTTTACCTATTATTAATGCAGGGGCACAAATTAAGGGGATTTTTTCCCTTTTCAACTGCTTTCCATTGAACCATCCTAGACCCTTTCTTTAATAATCTTAAACCCAACCTCACAGAGCCTGATTAAAAAAAGAAATGTCTAA